GGTTTAGATTCTACATAAAAAGTTTTTACATAATATTTTGATATTGACAAAATGTTAAAAGAACACTGAACATAAAGTTGCATATCTTCCCACTGATATCCTTAAAGTTAGGTTTTTGCTTTGCATCCATATATATCTTATTAATCCTTTTAATGTTTTTATGGCAACGAAAGCAAGTTGAGTAATTGTTTTACTACCAGGGGATAATAATAAGGGAACAGTTAATAACAGTTATTCGTTTTTGTTTTTTATTTTTATATTTCATATATATATGCAAATAAACTGATAATTGCAATAAAGAGAAACCACTTTTATACCATTGAGTGACAGGTATGATGAACACAGACTACAAACATATTGAACACAACTGCCTGATTAGGCAGTGATCGCGAACCAAACTACTTACATGCCCTTCAAATCGGTTCATTCTATGGAATACTATTCCTCCTACTTAGAAAATCGATGAAGCCAAATGAGAGACCAAATTTGTGGCCCGTTCAGTCATAATATCTGAAAAATTCAATCTGAATTTACGGATATAGCGAATATTTAGCACATTTTATATAGTTGGGCATTATAACATGCCCGATAATTGTACGATGCACCCCACATGCTTTTTGCCAGACGTGGGACATCATCTGCATGCTGTAATTGGACCCATGTTATGATGATGAATGAAAAGCGCTCAATAGTGGTTACATGAAGAAAACTGCTGGCCTTTTCATGCTTTTCAGTTTAGGTATTAAGCTTTAACTTTTAATGATCTCACACACAGAAATTTTTTTCTCTCCAATGGAATCAGAGTTACTTAAATTGAATTGCTTTAGTGATGACACGATACGAACACTACGAAAGAATATATCCTTCTATCATTTTTGTAAGTTCTCTATTCAATTAATTTCACTAATATAAGACTTCTTCCCCTAGGTAAATTGCCAATGTACACAAGATATAAATGTAGGTGCGTGAAGTTGTCGATCGTTAATTTAACCTCTTATAATATAAGATATAAATAAGACTTATTCGCTTCTTATAAAAATCTTTGTCCGGGACATCACGATTTTAGATTTAGTTTTTTACCTAAAGCGATGGGTATTGTACCAGAAGGCTACTCATTCGAAATCTCAAACTGTGACACTCAACCCAAGTTTATTGTTAAATTTAAGATTTTCTGTTTCAACTTTTGTGGCCGTTAGAATAATGGAAGCAAGCAAATGACTGGACGTGATTTGACGTTTGCCGATCTCATACATGAGAACTTTGATAAATCTCGGAGTGTTATTAGGCGTTGATGGCGGCTATAAAAAAAGTGATCGCTGATATAATTTACTACAACGAACCCCTAAATAAGTTCCTGCAAATTGAAAACAAGTTTATCTAATGCAAGTTTATCTATGTGTTATACTTAATCGCTTTCTTTCTGTCGACTTTCAAACTCTCAATGTATTCAAATCTGATTTCATAATCATATATAACTATCCACATCACAATTATTAATCATCTGGAACGCTTGCAATACATTGGAATTGGATGCAATGCGCATATTAATTATGTGCGATTAACACGCATTGGATATATGGCGCGAGTTTATAGCATGGATTTCCTTAAGATTCCATATATCAACGATAGTTACGTAGGTTTATTCCTGTTAAAGCTTTTATGGAATAGGATAAATATCGAAACACCGATAGACTAAAAAGCATGACCTTTAACCTTAACAAACCCGATTACTGATACGGATGACAATTTAACCACATCAAGACTTACGGTGCTGAGGTCAAGCGAAGTCAAATCTCGGAAAACAGTGTTGAATTAAATAACAACGAATCCTACGAGTGTGTGTTGTCAAATTTGGATTCCAATCTTTCTAAATATCAACTACTTTTCAGATGGCTACCGAAGAAGAGGCCAACTTTCAATGCTTATGCATTATTATATCTATGTTAATACGTGATTACCTTTTCAGAATCTGAATCAATCAATTTGCTTGTACTGGATATATACTTTTACTGCATTTGTATTCATCTACACCAACATAGGAAAATTCAAGAAAACCGAATTAATTCTTTCTTAACATCGAGAGCAATGTCTACCTATCGTTTTGCTTATCTATTGGTTGTCTCTTACACACACAGAAGTCAATCACAAGGAAAAACATATACAAATAGTATTGTTTAGCATTTTACTGTAACACACAAACGTAAACTTCACTTGAATGGCGCAAACGAAGAAATGCTTAACAGAGTTTTTGGCGCCTGCAAATAATGAGAAGGATGGGATAAGCAATGCAGAGATGGTTATGTTAACTTTCGTTGTTTGTTTTGCTGAGAATTTTTTTTTTGTTGTTACGCATACCTATATGAATTTTGATTTTGCAGTGAACTACGCGTATTTTGGACACAAACCAAGCATTTATAGAAAGATTTCGACCGCTATTTCGGAATACTTCCTTTAAAGGTATTATTATTATTATTATTATTATAAATTTAGCCAGAGAATAAATTT